TAGATATAAAGCATAAATATGCAAATTTATATGTCTATCATATTAGACTGTACATGCATTAAGCCAGAGTGGGTAGGTGGGTTGCACTTGAGTAGAAATATATAATGAACTAAACCGGGTCTAGGATGCATGTTTGACTCGAAGAACCGTAAAAACCACCCATAAATCTCTATGTCCCATGGTCTATATGCGATCTACAGTACTATGGTATTTAACATGAAATTATTTATTTACAGTCTATACAATATTTAAAGATAATATTAGGCAGTTAATTTCTTAATATTCCACTGAGAATCATTAGGATCTATGTTGAGAATTTCATTATCCCCAATAACTGTAACAACGTCTGTTGTGCCATTCAATAAGTATTTCTCAGTAACATTTTTTAAGTCTTCGTAACTAACATCCAAAAATCTTTCTCTTCTCTCTTGCCTCATTTCGTCCGTAATGTGCTCAAGGAAATCTAAGGAGCCTTGCAGAGAAATATGGCTAGGTGCGTCCACACCTTGGAATATGGTTAATTTTGCTTCTTGCAAATCCTTTGGACCCCATCCACCATTTTCAGAATCCAACATTTTACCTAATGCAACTGAAGGTGAATCTCTGAATGATTCTACTGACTTGAGTGGATTAGGATCCCTATACGAGTAGAAATTTAAACAGCCACCCAAACCATCAAACAGTAACCCACCTCCGTATGCTCCATTTGCTTCTCTTATAACAGAATGTAAATGTTTGAAGGTCAATAATTGTGATAAAACACGTAAAGCAGCTCCGTCTTTAGTAGTATATGCAGCTCCTAACTTAGCTAAAGAAGCATATCCAACTTGAAAAGGTAAGTCAATTAGAGTGTTATGACCATTGTTATTCAAGCCCAATTTATTAGTATTGAATTGGGATATCAAAGATGATAACTCATTGACGCCTACAACTGGGTTAGTATTTGATTTCAATAAGTCATCAAATTTTCTAACCATTTTTTCATTATCAACAACAGATTCATTGTCACCAACTAAACTGTATTCGAAGCCTGATTGGTTTCCATCAGTAAAACCATCAACCAAATGATGTTGAATATCCTTTAAAGCTGGTAAAAGCTCGTTGATTAAAAATTCTCTGCCCTCAGTATCTAATTTTCTATTCAAATCCAGAATAAACGAAACTTGACCTATACCACCAATCAAATTATGAATATACTTTGTAGGTGTAAGTTGCGAATTACCATGAGAATTTGCATATGAATGACCTGAATCAGCGATTGTGTTCATTTGATTCTGTCCTAAATTTTTGACCAACGTAAATAACTTATCAACAACTTGTTCATCTTGAGGATTAAATTTCGTTCCTGTTAAAATTTCATACCATAAATCATACACATGCTGAGATTTGTCTTTCAAAGCCATTCCGGACAACATAAATTTCATATTAGTCTTGGAGATGTCAAAAGGATCAGTTTTAACTGAAACATTAAAAGAAACGCCACCAGTTAACTTTTGAATTTTTGTTTCCAATTCAGTTATTGGAGTTTTACTTGTACCAGCTAGATTCGTAAGACAGCAATTGAACAATGGCAAATATTTATAGTATTTAGAAGGTAAGTATGAAATATCCTTAATAGCATTCATATAAATTAACCCATTTGTATCAACAATTCTCTTTTGAAGCTTCTTAGAATTCACATTTGCAAAATCAAGGGAATAAAAATCACCCTCTCTTGGAATATCTTTAACAGTTAATGTCGGCAATACTGATACATCTTCCTCTTTCTTCTGCTTCTCGGACAATTCAACACTTCTTTTAAAGATTACCTCTTTATCTTCCTCAGTTAATGCCTCAACTTTAGTTTGCAATCTTTCAGTTTCTTCGGATGATAAATTCTTTCCAAAACTTTCATCAGGTTCCATGGTGAACTTGAATTTTGGAGTACTATCTCTAAAAACTGTTTCTTCAAGTAAGTCTTGAAACATCTTGAGACCATTCAGTTTATAATCTTCTTTGAATCTATTTAAAATATGATCAACTTGTAATGATTTAACCGGATTCAATCCATTCACCCAAGTTGAAACAACTGAGCTTAATAGACCTAAACCAAATTCTGGTTTATGCTTTTTGAAGTTCAATTCAATCTGGTGTAAAATTGCTTCAATTCTATCACTAAATGCACTTTCTTTTCCTTTCTGAAGTTCTGGAACGATCTTCAGGACAAAAATCTCATGCACTTTACCTTCTAAATTTTTAGCTTTTTCTAAGGTTAAGTTATTCAAACCAATTGTAAAAGATAATAAGGCAGTTGTAGAGTCTAAACCATAATTCACACTGAAGTCCTCTCCGTATTCCTTTTCAATTAATTCTTGGTAAAAAGGTGAGTTATGACCGTCACATAACAAAGAGCTCAAAACTTTCCATTTGAATACCTCGTACTGTTTAGATTCATCTAACGGGTTTCCAATTACCCAAGTAACCGAAGACTTATATTGCTCTTCAATTGGTTTGCCTGACATTGTGTCAACGGGTCCTTTCACAGTAACATCGGATTTATAATTTGGATTAAGATCAAAAATTGGTTTTCTAACATTGGATCTCACCCCACGGCTACCAAAGAAATCAAAAAATTCATTTAATTTGTTTAAATGATTAACCAATTCAATATTACCATAAGTAAAAGTTTTTGAGTTAGATGGGTGGTAATTTGAAGAATGGAAATCAACTAAATCTTCATACCTAAGATCAGTAATATTATTCGGATTACCACCAGAATTATTTAATGAGCCGTATATAGCTTCTTGGAATTTGATCCAATAGTAATATGCCGAGTTAGAATATTGGCCTTTCATCTCATTATAGACAACGCCCTTAAAGATTATAGGACTTTTAGGATCTGAAAGATCTGAATTCTCTAATCTCCAACCCTCTTGCATGAAACTCTCGTGTGTAAGGAGTGGTTCGAAAACTGATGATAAATATACATCCATCAAGTTCTCAAAGTCCTTCGCATTAGTCGTAGCAAACGGATAATATGTGTAATCATGGCCTGTCATGGCATTCATAAAATTACTCAATGATCTGTTAAGCATTTTGAAAAACGGATCTCTGACCGGATACTTGAAAGACCCACAAAGCGTTGTATGTTCCAATATATGAGGAACCCCAGTGGCATCAGGAGCATTTGTCTTAAATGCTACCAGGAATACATTGTTTTTGTCATTAGGTGTATCTAAATGTAAATGCTCTGATCCAGTTCTAGAATGCTTTAATCTGACCGCCACAAGTGAAAATTCGGGTATAGGTTGAACTTGTTCAATCACATACCCATGCATATTAAGTCCGATAGGGTATTTACTCAAAATTTCACCTTGTGTCACACCTGAAGTGGCCATGGGTCTCCTTTTCAACTGGGTTATCCCCAAGTTCCCACTCTCCTTTCTAGAAACTCTATTAGCCAACCTTAACATTCTTAATCTTAATAAAATATTTACCAGAATAATGTCATCAAGATTCCTTATAAATCGCAACTACAGTGCTCGCTAAGAAAAATCTGGCCCTAATGGTGAAAAACTACCCATTTTTAGACATATTCATCTAACTTTGCACATTCGAGTATTTATTATATTATCTACACGTTACAAACATTCTAAGGTTCATTACAATCGTTGATGAACCTCATATGCTATTTTATATACTATCTTCATTAGATATACTAACAATGTGGATGAAATCCACGATTACACGTGATGATCCAAGTAATACCGGGCCGCTTTGAAATTTTTCACTATCAGGTTGACAGATTTGATAAACACCGAAATATTTCTGACATTATAACATAAAAGGTCTAATGACGGTCAAAGAACAGCTGGGTAGTAACCCGAATAAAAGTGCTGCAGAAAATGTTTCGACATTAGGTGGGTTTTTGGCAGGTGGTTTGGCTGCATGTGGAGCAGTTACATTCACAAATCCTATAGAATTGATTAAAACAAGAATGCAGTTGCAGGGAGAGTTGAGTAAAAAATCAGATGCTCCTAAGTTGTATAAAAACCCGATCCAGGCTTTTGGACTCATATATAGAAAAGAAGGTATCAGAGGGTTGCAGCAAGGTTTGGCATGTGGCTACTACTATCAACTAGGTCTTAATGGGTGTCGTATTGGACTTTATGAGCCTAGTCGTTATGCGATAACTAAGCTTTTGAATCCTTCTAGTCTTAAAGAGGGTGAAAAGGTTCCTCAGAACTTGTGGATCAATGTTCTTTCGGGTTTTGTAGCTGGTGCTGCAGGTGCTGTGGTTGCATCCCCATTTTTTCTTATTAAGACCAGAATGCAGTCGTATTCAGGAGTCAAAGCAGCATCTGCTGAAGGTAGTCAAAGTGTTGGCCAGCAAACTTACTATAAGAACGCCGCAGATGGCTTGCTGAAGATCTACAAAGCTGAAGGTATTGTGGGCTTATTCCGTGGTGTTGACGCGGCTATTTTGCGTACTGGTGCAGGTTCTGCTGCCCAGTTACCAGTCTACAACTTTACAAAGTCCCTATTGCTAGAATACGACATTGTCGAAGATAATTCTACTGGTTTGCATTTCATTTCTGGTGCCATGGCCGGTTTGGGTGTTGCAATTGTGATGAACCCATGGGACGTCATTTTAACGAGAGTTTATAACCAGAAAGGTAACTTGTATAAAGGACCTATAGATTGTTTTGCTAAGACCGTCAAGACGGAAGGTTTCGGTGCGTTATATAAAGGTTTCTACGCTCAGTTGTTCAGAATCTGGCCTCACTCTATTCTTACGTTAATGTTCATGGAACATTGTATGAAAGCCATAGAAAAAATTGAAAGAAAATTACACAGCTAGTTTCCACTGTTTTTAACAGGCGTATTGTATATTTAGTTAGTTTCACGGCTTCGTACCTATTTATTTATTAGACATCTTACAGTTAGTATACATGTAGATTCATGAACTGAAGAAATTCACGTGACTCGCCGATGCTTAAAGTGGCGAACACAATTTTAGGTGCTAAATAGACCAAAAAACATTGGATGATTTGTCAGTATACATTAAAGGTATAAATTAGTTATTGGAAGTTTAAATTAAGTCCCTTCAGAAGTTGAGTTCACTCATAGGATCATATTAGGTACACTGGTAAATTTGTTCTATAAAAAAACATTAAATATTCAAAGCGAAAATCTCAATTGATTACGCCTTTCTAAATATTCATATTCGGTCACTATAAACATAATTGACATTAAATCTTTCCAAATTAATGGACTTTGAAATACAGAAATAAAATATTCATTTAAATACATATTGCAAGAATTTTAGACGAAGTATATGCGTGATTCCAATTATAAATCAGTATCCAATAACAAAGCAGCGGTTACCATAACGACTAGTCTTTATGACCGAAGAGCGTTGGATGTGACGTCGGATAAGCCTTTGGTCAATTCCTTGAACCATTTGACTTATTTGGTATCGTCTCTGGCCAAAGTGAGAGAAACATTGTCTGTTGACGGGGGTATAGAAAGACTTATTGAAATTTTGCATGAGTGTCATAACCTGACTTTTAACTTGAACGACAATATTTTCAACAGCGAGAAGAAGCTATTAACTGCATGGAAATGGACATTAGCATTTCAATGTTTGGTGTTGATCGGTACAAGAGGAACAGAAAAAATAAGACAAGGGTTAGTGAAGGCGGGCATTTTACCTATAATCGCGACCGTTTTAGATAACTATCTAACTCTTCACGAAAGAACTTTCATTCATGCAAATTCTAGACAATCGGCATCTTCAAATGATCTGCAGTCGCAGAACCCAACTCAACAGGCACAAACTAGCCAGCAGAGGCAACAAATGCACCAAATAATGCAGACACAACAAAATAATGATATTGCACCCACTTCTGTTTTTGATAACACTGTCTCTCCATTAGCGACTGCTCCTGGTACTGCTGATGGAAATGACTCGTTTGTTGTCTTTAATAGCACAAATAATAATAACAATCTTTTTGCAGGTGATCTTCCCAGCCTTGATCAAGAAACGAACAACGATACAAACAATATCCTTGATCAACTAGATTCTTTTGCACAAGTACCAATGTCTATGTCAAATGCACCTACACCGACTGCTGGAGCAATTGAGACTAATTCGATCAACAATCCAAACCAATCAACAACTTTTTTCAACAACATACATTCTTATAATTTGACCAGTGATGATTATGATAATCTAACTGTAGATCAATTGTTTAAGTTAATACGTGTTCATAATTCTACTGCAACCAACAAAATTAATGAGACCTCAGTAAACAATGATTTACGAAGAAGGTATTTAATTATCAATATAATAAAGAAATTAAGAGAAGAAAAGGAAGGAGATATTTTAGACGATAGGTTTATTGACGACTGTGATTATGATATGGATAATAGTTTACAATTTTTGTCTGATATGTATTTGCAGGATGACAAAGCCACCCAATTAGTTACTTTAACTAACTCTAAAATTTCACCTCGAAACTTTACGGAGACGGGTGTAGTTATTCCAAGAGATGATGATATTGTATGGTCTTTACAGTTATTGGCATATATTTCGAAATACCCGTACCTTAAAGATGTGCTACAAAATACACACCTTGTGATTGACATGAGTATCAGGGATAAGCAATTGAAGCTATATATTGAAAAGCAATTGAAGTCTAAGTTAAAAAAGACATTAGCACTTAATTCTCGGCCAACAATTAGACCTAAATCAAGAAAGAACAAGGCACACTCACAAAACAAGGATTCTGATATCGAAAGATTCAATCCTTCAGCTTCGAATTCTCCACAGATGCTAAATGATTTCAATTCAATTCAGAGCGATGACTTGATCCTCAGAGATAAATTTGAACTCTCAAAAGGAGATGAAGATAAAGAAATTAATATCACAGAAAGCGCAGAAACTGATGACTTCGAAGATGATGAAGATGATGAAGAAGATGATGATAATAATAACAATAATGATAACGTAAATGATAAATTAAGAAGCCTGATTTCTGAAGATGACTGCGAAGATGAACATTACATAGCCAAATTAACCAAGGGAAATGACAGCGTTGAGTATCTTGGTCACCTAAGTCATTTGTATGGGTCTATTTTAGATGCTGAATCGATAATAAATGATTTGGACCGAGAAATAGCGTTATTTTACATTAGTGAAAGGATTAATCGATATATTGAAGTTGAGTGCAAAAGTTTAAGTGATACAATCACTTCGAAACGACTTGAGCAGAAACTGTATTTGACTTCCAAATGGAATTATGATACCTATGATAACTTTGATATTGATGATGATTCTAATTGCCAAAAGGATTCAGATTATGATGAATCACTAGTTGAATATAAGAAGGTGAATTTATTCCCTATGGTTGAAAAATTTACATTTTTGTCTGGTACAGATATGTATTATTGGTCAGGGGTCATAATGAGGAATTCTTGTAGGAGAAGTGAAATTAGGGGTGGTGTTAGGCAATGCGGTAATCTTGAATGTGGTAAATGGGAAAAATACCCTAGAGAGTTTCTGAAATGTCGAAGATGTAAAAGAACTAAGTATTGTTCGCGTGAATGTCAAATGCGAGCCTGGCATTGCCATAGAAATTGGTGCATACCAAGCAACTCAAGCTCTGGAAGTTCAATTACTACAGGTACTAACAATGTCAACACTTCTAGTCTGCATGCAAATATAAATCCAAATGCCACTAGTAATGATGACCCCGGTTCTATTCCGAATACCCAGCAATCTTCGTCACAATCTCAAGAAGAAAGCTAATTTATGATGCATTATAGGTTTTTTAAAATTGGTTTTTTACATAGATAGCTTATATCTTTACAAATTTTCATTTCAATCTTGATTGAAAGCTTGTAGAATTTATGGATCTATATAATATCGATCTCTACTCGGTTTCCGCTATTTTAAAATCATTGGTAAGCCATAAACTATAGGAGCAGACCCATTTAAGTATTTTAGAGTACAACGTTCTCGGCTATCACCGACTGCTTTGCAAATATTAACACTATCCGAACTAGTAGTTCCTAGCAAGCCCCATTTTTCAAACACCGATAGACTAAACATATCAATATCCTTGTCAGTAACATCCCACAAATTAACGACTACCATGGGTGATCCACATATAAGCCAGTTATAAACAGTACCGTTTGGTTCTAATAACCCATTGTAATTCAATGCTCCTGAGGAGCAACCTATCAATAGACTAGGTGGTAATATATGATTATCGTTATTGCATGCAGCCTTTAATAACGATGATGTACGAATGAATTGCTCGCATCCTCCATGGCCCAAATAAACAAATAAATCCATATCCCCAAGTTTGTGAAGAACCTCATCTCCGTTAGGTTGTGTGCCGATGAGACCTTCCCAATTCTCTTTATCAATGAAAAATGGTTTAAACTTTGTCTGTGTTCGTATTAAATCACCTCCAGGATTAATCAAGTAGTATAGATTGTTCGATGTTTCTATATTTAATGACTTATGCCTCGACTTTAACATGTCAAGTAGGGTTCCAATAGATGGAACTCTAGAAATCGATCTACCCTTCAAAAAATTAAGCGATTCCCAAGGAAAAGATGAGCACTTTGCACTTGGAACAAGTATTGTATGGCTTTCCCTGTAATCTGTATGAACCAACGGCCTATTCTTCTTCTGTGCATACGTACTTAGCAACTTCTCTAGTAAGTAATGAAACTTTTCGATATCAATTTCATCGTATGCATTTTGCTCTCCATGATATGTTAATGAATCGAGAATAAATAAAATTAAATCATTGAGAAATTTATAGCTTTTTTGCTTAAACTCTGAATCATCTATTTCTGCATGATCTTCTCGATACATTTCACACATGCTAAGAAACAATTGCAAAACATTATTATCGAAATCCATAAACTTGTCTTCCGCTAACTTCAGCATCCGAGAAGGTAATATTTCATTTAACAAACATTCAAAATCAAAACCAAAAGCTGATAAAAAAGACTCATTTGTAGAAGGATCATCAAATATTCCCTTATACCCACCCAACCAGTTATTTTCAACATGATCTAATAAATGTTTTAATTCTAAATCCAAGCTAAATCTTAGCTTCCACCAATTTTTCCTATCCTCTTTAGACTTAATTTTAGATGTCGTCTCTATTCTAGTTGATATATCACTTTGTTTAATTATCGACTCTAATGCTTTTATCATTTCATTGAATGACATTTCAAGTGAGTCACCTTCATTACTTTTTTTATTTAATGGAATTCTTAAGAAAAAAGGTTTCTTGTAGGAATACTTATGCATCTTAGATAACAATAAATCTCCAGTGTAAGGACAAATATCAATTGTAATAATTATCCATGAACTAGGCAAATATTCGGCTAAATCGTTGAAAAATTCGCTAGTAACCAAATCAATTTCTCTGTTAATAAATCCATCGTTAACCTCAGATGGAAGTAATTCATTATTGTTAGACTGTGATGTAACAGTTTCATGATTGATAGATCTATCATTCAAAAAAGGAAGATACCGAGGCAAGTCTTGCAAATAATAAAGATACGATAAAACTGAGTTTTCACCACTTACCAAAGAGAAATCAGACTTATATATTGCAACTGATGAAAGTAAGGATAAGCATCTAAAAAAGACTTTATTCAAATCATTCAACTCGTAATTAGATAATTGCTTTAGTCTTTTGGATGACAAGCAATTCAATAATATTTCTTTAGTTTGAATCAAGTTGTTGATTATATCTATCTGATTAGATATGTTATCATAGACTGGTTTAACTGACCCTTGGAACTTCTTCTCTTCTTTAACTATGCAAGGTAATGCAATACATGATTCATCCATCAGTGAAAAGCATGGTATTAATAGTAATTGTTTAAGTGCATTAGAGGTTTGTGTCTTTGCCAAAGATATCGTAGTGATTATCCTACTATATTGATCGTCTTCATAGCGATTGTAGTCACCTGAATCTGGACTATAGTCAAATTCATATAAGGATAACAAATATTGAAGTTGTATTCGCTCGCTTCTTGAATCAATGAAACTTGACATGGATATCAATGAAGATGTTGGAATAGTTCCTAATTCTTTCCAGGAAAATTCTAATAATACTTCCAAATCTTTTTTATAACTCTCTTTTCTTGGTAGACAATTACCATTTTCCTTTCCTTTCACGTTGAATTTCAACTCTGCAGCTAAGAATAACAAGTTACTTAAAATTCTAGCAAGTCTGATATTTCTATTATCCATCTCTATCAGTTTATATATATTATTCCCTTCGGTTAAGGATAAAAATGCAGCCTCCATATTCTCTAACATAACATAAAAGTTTGTCAAATAAAAAGAGTTTGAACAATTAACAAATGGAGCAATATTAGCTTCGTCCAATTTCTTAAATTCCAGTAAATAGTATAATAAATCTCTCGATATTCCCAATCGTTTGAGAATATCTATTATAGTTTTGTAGCATTCGAATAATAATGAAGCAGTTTTCCATTTCAATTCATTGTACACTACTTTTCGAATGTTATTACCCAATTTCTTTATAATTGAATAAACCACCTTAATACATAATTTCACGTTATCTAAAGCATCGTAGAAATTCGACAATTGGATATTAAATTTACATGTAAGTAACTGGAATCGAGCTATTATGAACAAATTTTCAAACTTTAATTCTAAAGTCATGTCAGGGCCTTGATTCTTCAAGTTAAATTCCAGCTTAGAATCTAGGAATTTCAAAATTGCAGTGGATTTTTCCTTAGCATGAGTCTTATTGCCAATCAACAAACAATATTCAAACTGCAGTAATTTCCAATTCATTATATCTTGATTTGAAACATGTTGCAAGCAATCGTTACTTGAAGAATATTTCGATAGTTGCTTTAATAAAGTACCTGAAGATGTCAAATGATTTGATGCATCTAGCGGTAAACCTAATTTTATACAGGCATCACATAATTCTAATTCAAGCAACAAACTATTCTGGTAAACCTTAGGTGCATTATCAAGAGTTGGTCGGTGCTGCCTATAAACCTGGATCAAGTGTATGACTCGTCCTGTCAAAGAATTGTATTTTAAATAATTCACAAAGGTTCTTAATATTTCAAACTCATAGTCAATTATAAACATATTACTCTGGTCTGATCTTTCAAGCCAGTCTTCGAATAGCTTTAGCGAATCTGTTAACATTTCTTCGTTCCATCCGATATTTATTACCTCCTGTAAGCGTACACCGCTTAAAAAAAGAATATTCAAATCATTCAGAGAACAAGCGTCTGTAAATATGTCAACCACAAAATTATTCAATCCATTTAAATTGAAATAATGATATATGCAAATTAAATTTAGAGTGGAGTCTTTTAGGATCAATTTCTTCATAATATGATTAATCAAATCTGTTTTCTGCCTAACATTGTTTGACTTCTCTAAGAAGCAGACTAAATTGATAAATAAAATACACTTGAAATTCTCGCTTAGTTTGCTTTCATCGCCGAAAATTAAATTCACGATCGAAGCATCAGATACTAGACACTTAGCTAATAATTGAATTATTAAGGGCATTTGGAATTCTGCCAAGTCGAAGAACAATTGTTGGAACCCCGTTTTTTTGGTATCGATGGCATCTCTCAAAAATCCAAGGAGAATGGATGTAGACTCTTCGAAGTTTCTCATCTCATATAACGCATTAACAATCTTCTGAACTTTGCTTTGGAGAAACTTGAAATTTTCAGCAGTCTTCGTTTCAGCGTTGTAGCTGTAAATGAACAGTTCATAAGAAATTGCGAGCTTCCAATAATCTTTAGGTATATTCTTTTCTTTATTCCCAAGATTGAAAAAAAGATTGGAAAGATTTCGTATTCTTTTAAATTGCCTAAATTTAGATAGTATGTTGAACAAATCCTGAAGCGTGTTAGAAAGAAACTTCAAAAATGATTTTTCAGTCTTTTCACTATTGACGAGATCTTTCAAATATATTGTAATAGAATCGAATATTATTAAATGATCACAGGAAAGGTTCTTTAAAGTTTTAAATGCAAGATTAAAATATGATGTACATATCTGGATGCTGGAATATGCTAAGGTTTTATCAACTGCGCAAAGCGTGGTCTTTATAAAACGTTTCATAGAAGACAAGAATTCAGGGTCAGATGCTATATCTGTGTCACATTTTACTTTTGGCAGCAAGTAAAATACCAATTGATCTAATGAAGCTCCAGATAAATTATCTATTGCTTTATTTACCGCAGTTATTATCTCTGATCGAGGATATCGAGTGGAAGGTAGTTGGATGCAATCTAATTCAATTCTTAGTTTTTCTAGAGATACCGATGAGTTGCCATCCAATTGTGATAATACAGACTTTACGTCTTCAATATATGGTAATAATTGAGCATTTTCTTGAGTATTGAGATCTAGTTGTATATTCGAATAATCTCCTGACTTTAAAAGCTGATATTCAATTGATTTTATGGTGAATAAACTTTGAAAGTAATACAATTCAGTCAAACTCGGGCCTTTGACTTTGGTCACTAATATGCAAATAATCTTAAGGAACCCATTAATCATTTTATTTAAGTTATTGACGTGTTTGTCTTTATTTGAATATTGAGTATAAGAATATGTTAGCCATTGGGAGAAATTTCCGGTTGATAAAAAATATGGTGCAATAGCTCCAAATAAGGATATGTTTAGTTTGCGATCTCTATTAGATATTATTAGTTTGAGATTCAATGTAATTGTTTGAAGGATACATTGAATACACATAAAATGAAACGCAATTGTTAAATTTACGATTTGCAATTTGTGATTTTCATCTAGACATTCTAGAAACGTCTCATTAAAAGGAATTCCTTGTAGTAATTCCTCGTAACCTAGTCCCGACGTATTATGCCAATCAATAGAAGATTTAACATTTATAACTTTATTTATTATTTGATAGATCAAGCCTAATTCTGCTAGCGATACATCTATTTTCTTCAATGCAATCAATTTAATGACGTAAACTTGATGCTTTTTTATAACATTAATATAGTCTTGTGTCTTTGAAATGCTGCTATACACGCATCTGAATGCTTTTGATATCACTTCTAATAGGTTTTGGTGTTCCTCATGATTAAGTACACTTGAGTCAATGCTCTCATCTTTCAATACAGCATCTATGATCTTAATAGCCGATAATTCAATACTGACCTTTGTTTTGCTTGGTGATTGGACTTGTACGTTCTGTCTCCTGGAAGAATGAAGTGGGCTGCCGGTATAATTGTACGATTGCAAATATGAAGTTAGTAGTGGGTCCAATGAAATGTAATCCTTTATTGATTCCAGGATCATCACTATTTGTTAAAGCAATTCTAAAGCTATTGGTATGTCTCGTCTATATCTTACGTGTGGTCTAAAGATTTGCCTTATTGTTTGTGTTTACATTTCAAAATTTCTTTGTGGTTTGCATACAAGCGCTATTTGCAATCTTCAAAATATGTGTTGCATTTACAACGTTTATAACATTAGTAGGGTCACAATGATATTCTTTAGATTAAATGATTAGACTTGTTTGATAGTACAGTTTATATATCATAATACTATATTAAGTATCTTTTTATCGTGAACGAGGTATCTTCAAAATTGTGAAAAATATGAAAATATTGAAAATTGTCAAAAATATTGCTAAACTTATTAGAATAATCATACACAGGTCTTAATATAATCATGAATTACAATTTAATGTTTAATGTTTAACTAATGATATAAAATTAAAAATATATTTATAAATCTTCTTCATAGATATAAGTCAAGATATTATAACGCTATGAGTATAGGTTCAAAATAATTTTTAAAATTTATCTTTCAGAAAAA